AGACAAAATTCTACAAAAAATATATCTTTTTTGAAAAATTTGAAGATACGTTTTTTTTTTTTTCTATGTTTGTTTGAAATTTTGTTGTTATCATATCTTTGTGTATCTTTATTGAAATTAGATTATTCAACATTCTTTTGAAAGTTCAGGACATAAAAATAAGCTGCATTAAAAAACATTTAATCACGTTAAGAAAGAACTAAATTAAGAGTCTCCAAAGATAGGCATGTCAGGCGGCAACCTGGCAAATTTTGCAACTTTGAGGGGGGTGTAACTTGGCGGGGAATTCACTTTTCCGGATTTTCTTTGCTGATTTCTTTATGCTAGCCCAGACTCTACTAATCAGCAAAAAAATGAAAAAAATCTGAAAGAGTGATGTACGAAGGTGTGCGATTTCCCATGAAATGGCCCATATATGTATACTGCTTTTCGTTGGATAAGCGCAGTGAAAACAGCAAAAACTGTCATTGCCGTTGACGTCTTGACTGATTTTCTTTTAGTACGGTTATACGGTAACATACACGTAATTCTTGAGAAGATTTTTGGAAAGATTTTGTCAGAAGTGCTGCTCTTTAGAAGACCATTGAATAACGCTTGGTTTTGTTTAAAATGAATGAAACGTTTTAAAGGTAACTAGAAATTAATCTGCAATATTTTGCTCCAGTTAGCGTTTCCTAAGCTTATTAAACGCTCTCTTCTATTTAGACAGTTTGCAGTATTTCCTCATTAAAAAAAACTCTGCATACGAAAAAATGACAGTTTAAAGAGCGAAACGCGGTCTAGAGATTCCTAGTCCCCATTAGCCATTAGATGACTAGTGCACTGTTTTCTCCTAACACTTGGAATAGCAACAAATTTTATTTCTGTATAAGATTGCTTTCGTTACAAAAATGCTATATTCATCTTCAACTACTCGAAATTATATAAAAAGCTAGTTTCAATAATCTGCAATATCAGCAAAAATTCTGTGAAGCAAACTTTCATTCCCAGTCAGTGATGATAGACAAATTCCACTAATTAGCTGTCCGATTTACTTCGCAATTCTTCGACACTTTTCGCTTGTTCACTTCACTGATATTTCAATTCTCGTCGCTTCTTAGTGAACGCTTCTTACCATTTACACTCTCGGAGAAAAGCTTCATTACATCTTTAAAACTTATACCCCTAGAAGTCTCCTTTGAAATCGCAACATTTTTATTTAAAAACGTCGTTTATCTCGCGATGCAGATGTGCTGCAAAAATCAAACACACTTTTTTAATCAGAAGACAACTCGTGGAATTTGAGCTTTTGTATTCAAATTTTAAATCTAAATACTCTTTTAGAAGCACTTAAAAATCTGATTTCACACTTGAAACTTGTTAAAAAACAAGTCTGAAATTTTATAGCTTAATTACTCTTCCCAACATTTTTATTGAACCTCTGACTTTGTTCGCTTCCATAAGTGTAATGAAAAAATATCCAATTAGCTTTTCGTATTCCCAAGTCAAAATTTCATTTTTTTTTTCTTATTTGAAAATTATCTTTTGAAGTAACGATTGTGCTTAAAAACAAATTTTAACTAATCTCTTCTTAGCAAAAATCAATCTTTCATAAAAGAATGACTAAATCTGATATTAGAAAAGACAAGCATTTACACTTCTAAAGCTGGATTAAAAGATTGATTTTGAGTCAGTTTGTACTTTTTCAAATTTTCGTTCTTGAACTTTTCACGCCTCAACACTTGTCAAATTTAAATCTTTAAAATCCTGCGCCAAGATGTTCACTTAAAAAGTTGTTTTCTGTTGAAATAAGCGCTGCAAAAATGAAAAATTTTCAAAATTTTCAAGTTTTGAAACCTTTTAAAGCCTAATTTGTTGTTGAAGCGCAGGGGTAGAAAAGCATGCATATAATTGAGAACTTGTACTTTTCTTTTCCTAAATTCAGAATTGTATACATCCTTTTCTTTCTAATAATTTGCATGACAAAGGTACAGTACAAAGCTAGTTTAGATTCAAACATTAATCAGCTTAGTCTTCTTTGACGGTACCCTTAAATTAAGTCTTTTTCCCGTTTTAATTTGATCCTGATTCCCCAAAATTCTAAAAACTCTGCTTCGTCTTTGAAGCCAAAAATTACTAGAAAAAATACCTTTTTTTCAAAAGATTAACAATATTTGAATTTCTTGTAAAGTTTAAACTTTTATAAGCCAAATCACTTTATCTTGGAATCTATGTTAGCAAAATTACAAAATACACTAAAAAGCGAAAAGTATGGACTTCAATGCCGATTTAAAAAAATACTTAGTTTTGCACACAAATATCAAAACTTCGATTTTGAAAAAAGCGCCGATTATGCATAAGCGCAGAAACTGTATACAGCTTGACAATCTATAGTTTAAAAGAAAAAATATTTTCAAAAACAAGTTGTAGCCTCGGCGATCACGTGCCCGAGTTACTAGACCGCCCAGACCTGAGATAATTTTAAGATTATAAAGTTTCACTTAAGTACGACCTGCTGTAAGACAACCCACCTACTCCTCCTGCATACAAATTCAGGCAAACTATTTTCTGATAGAAACCACTGTGATTTCTCATTTCAAATTTTTATTATATTTGGTAAGGTGTTGCGTTGTTTTTAGATGCTGCAAGATTGTTACTGGTCTTAATAACTTTTGTGAAAGGTTTCCTGCTTTAGTGACCACTCTCCGAGTCTTTAAGAAGTTTTTTAAAGAATTAGATAAAGCCAATAAGTTTAATGCTTTTGGCTTCAAGACCAGGCCGAGAAATTGAGCAGTTTTGTTACATTTTGAAAATTATTAATTACTACTATAAAACCACAAAATTACAAGCATTTCTTAGTAGGCTGCAAGTTAAAAAGTAAGAGTTATCTTTGGTTAACTGAGGCTTTTTTAGAATTAGCTAGTCTCAGCACTACTGTGAATTTTTACAGAATGAAACATGTATTAGAATAGAAACGCTGCCTAATTGGAAACGATAATTAAAGTAATTGTGATTTGATTGAAAGGAATTTATTAAATAAGCCATTCCATGCCAAGTTGCACACTTTTCCACATAGTGTCCCAAACTTTTTCAAACACTGCTGATTTGTAGAATCTAAACTGGTACACAAAAAATCCGAAAAAGAACCTGGATGAGCAGATTTCCAGCCAAGTTACATCCCCCCGAGGTCTGCCGAGCTGTTCCTTAACATGGCTGTCTTTGGAAACTTGCAGTTTAACTCAACCTTAACAAAATTGAACAACCTTTGGTTTATTAGGTTTGTCATGTTCTAACTTTTGAACACATATTACGCTGTTTAGTTTTGGTGAACAATTTATAAATACAAGATTTTACATGAATATAAAAAACAACCGTATCTTTGAATATAACAAAAATTTTTCGTGTAGAATTTCCTGCACCACAACCTACCAAAAACTGGTAATGCCGTTTTGTTTTGAATCAAGTTATGGGCCGGAAAAGAAAAAGGAACTGAAAAAAACCTGAGAAAAAATTTCTAATGTATTTCCACACATTTTACAGTGGCGTGACCGTTCTGTTGAAAGCCACAGAAAACGGAGAAAATGCTTTAGTCGTTGACGACTCGTTATAAAAATGTATTTTACTTTAAAATATTGAAAATTTATCATTCTACAAGGTTACAGAAAGTTGCCTTCATTTTAGTGCTTATTCCTTCGTACATATTGCAGTTACCTGGAAGAGTCAGTGGAGTTTAGCTTACAAAACAGAGGAACCAACATGGTTGATGTGACAGAAAGTTTAAAGAACAGCCAGTTTTGTGGCCAGCAAAGGATGTAAACGTTTTTTTTTTAAGAACCAAGTGGTTGTAATCCTCTAAACTGGCGAGGTTCTCAAAGCAACAAAAAACGGAATTTAACATTTATTGGTTAAACCAGTAGTTTTTAGACTTCCTTATGGCGCCAAAATATTAGACGCACAATTTTGACAAGGAGAAGACAAGTGGGAGATGCTGGAACAAAGGTAACTTCCTATAACTCTAAAAATAGAAGAATTGTTAGAGTAATTATAATAAAATATAATTTTTGTAACAAATCTTCAACAATTAAAACAAACAGGACTTTTATGGCCGTTTTCTGTGGCATTCAAAAACGACTCAAGATGCTTTCGTCATTATGAAATGTGTGGAATTACTATTAAAGTTTTTTCAGTCTCATACTCCTTTCCAGTTAGCAACTCTCGAATCTGAAAGAACAACATTACCATTATCTGAAATGTTATAAAACAGCAAGCTTTACAAGAAAATGTTTTTTTTAAAAAAAAATTAAAGACGCGATCTTCCCAACATTCATTTGAAATCTTGTTTTTATTGTAGTTACGCAACTATTTACCAAAAATAAGTAATTTATTATGTTTAAAAGTGCGGAACATGACAAACCTAGTAAACTGAGTGTCATAAAATTTTGTTGAGGTTAAGCTGGGTATCTGAAGACAGCATGTCAAACAGCAACTTGGTAAATTTTGTAGCTTTGAGAGGATGTAATTTGTTAGGAACTCGTTCATCTAAGTTCTCTTTTCGGCTTTCCTAAAGTCTACTAAACAGCAAAGTTCCGGAAAAATTCTAGAACACTAAGTGAAAGAAATGTGCGATGTGGCACGAAATGACTCAAACAAACTCCAGTCCTTATTAGCAACCGTGTGGGCATCATTAAGCTATATCCAATCAATTACATTACTTCTGTCGAATTTGGTCTACTGTACGAATTGCTTGAGGAAGTCAAAAACAAGTACTGTTTGTCTGGTCTCAAAATACGTTCTTCGATTTCCCAAATTCTCACATCTGTTAGAGAATCTATCTGTAATGTATGAAAAACAACTGAGACCGACATTATTTCTCGGACCTGAAAGTAACCTATCGCTACTCCAATTATAAAAGTATGGCGGAATATGAATTTGCAGATTAAAGGCTTACCAGTATTCCTGCTTAATAAGTCAACATTGTTGTTATGTCGCCTAGTCAATAAAAATCACTTCTAAAAATACAAGAGAAACTTTGAAGTAATAATTCAATTTTTGAAAACTAGCACTTAAAACACATAATTTCCCTACTTCTTATTTATGAATTTTCACTATCAAAAAGAAACAAATGAAAAATTCCTTAAATTTCATCATGTCTGTAATTCTAACACTGCTACACCCTTTTAAATATCACCTCGTTGAATCTCAATAATTAATCTGAAAGAAACATGTAGCAAAGTAAAAATGAAGCTGCTACAGCTTGCTATTAGTAGTACAACCAAATAACAATAGAAATCGCATTTCACTAGAGAATATCAGTACTGTCCTTTAGAAGTACTTCAAGACATTGGAACAGCCAGCACGCACTTTTCAATGTAAACCTTCACGTTCTAAATTTCTTCTTACCAACCAGATAATAAAAGAGCAACAATTAAATCCCTCAACTATTTTCTCAAATCCTACCTTGCCGCCTCTAACTCTCAGTCTCCAGCTCCAGAACTTTTAAGTAAGCTTAATATGTCGGCTGACTCTATAGGACCCAATTTTGACGGCTCCAAATTTCTTTAGAAAGGCCAATCCAAAGTACTACTTTATGCTGCACTGATCGTAAAAGTAAACTTTTATAGATTCCTGCTTAATAAGTCAGCATAAACAGTGTCGCCATTTAAACATCGTTAGTGGAGGACGGCTATTCTAAAAGTTCTGGAACCTTGAAGCATATCAACTAAAAGCGAGGAGATGGACTAACTTGAAAAAAATGTTCTATTTACCTATGATGTTCTCCCACAAACGTTCACCGCAGAAATTGGTTTTTCAGATGATGCAAAACCATCGGCTTTCGCCTACTTTCCCAATCGGCTCGCCTTAATGCTGGTTGCTGACAGTGACAACTATATAGTAGAATCATCTCGTGATTTTAATTCACTACAGTGCAATTACGAGGTATAATCATACAGTGCGGAGTGGTAAGCAGGAGCAACCAAGTCACTTTAAGAACTACGAGGTCTACAAATTCAAGTTAAGAAATCAGACAATCAGTATTTTATAATAACTACTGATGATGCGGTTAAGTGTTCGCGCAACTTTGACTTCTGCGTGGAAAAATCATGCTGACAAGTAATTTTTACTGAAGATTTGCATGTGGAATAGTGCATGTCGAACTTGAACATTCAATACTTCTTCCCATCCTCTTTGTTGATATGAAGCTTCTTTCCATAGTGGCTACCTGAAACTCCTCTTAAGACTCATAAAGTTTAAGTTCTCATGAACAAGTATATCTAATTTAATGTTGACTCCTCTAGCAATTAATATTGTAATTAAAGTTTGCCTTTATATTTTAGATGTTTCGTTCGATTCGGTTTTGGTAATGCTGCTGGCGTAAATGGAAATACTTTTACAACAGTCCCAACAGCTTTTGTTCGACCCTCGCGAAATACCATTCTAGAGCCCTCACGCAAATATTCGGGACATTTCATAAATTTGAAAGTCACTACATCACGATCACCGGTCCTCAGTACATCTTTTGTCATTTTTATAATCGTAGCAGTTTGTCGTATAGAACCAATGTGCACTGTACCAAAAACACAGGTAAGTTAAGCGTAGATGAAAAATGAAGAAATGCAGACCTTCAATGCATCCCTTTATTCTTTTTGGAAAACAATATTATGGGAAGGACTTGCCCATTGCTTGGTAATCCTGAGATATCGTGGTAGGGTGATGAAGTATTAAAATCTCAGCTTGAAACTGCATTGAAGAAAATACGTTAAGAAGAGGAGAAACTAACATCATTCCTTTCCGTACTTCTTTTTTACTTAGCTTTCTAAAAAAACATCTTACACACATTGCAAAGCAGTATAAGCCAATATTGTTATATACCGTATGGCAAAAGAAGCTGTCTGTCCACATCTGATATGGTTAACAGGCATACGTTTACGGTGTATTGACTTCACAGGTACAGGAACAAATTCGCCGGTCTTATTTGGGCCAATTAGCAGTGTGTCATTCACTGATACTTTACCTTAAATTACTAATCATAATGGGACAAAAGTTAGCAAGAGCAACACCACAGGAAGCTCCCAACTGAACAAAGACCAAATTTTTAAATTCAGTGGGCAATTCAAAATAAAGCACAATGGAAAAAAATATATTTTATAAAGAATTCTACTAATTTAACCTTCTTCGCTTACCGGCAAGACAAGTTCCTGACACCACAGTACCCACTCCATTGACCCAGTAAACATCATCAATTTGAAATTCTGCAGGAGCATCAAGTGCAAGCTTCCGCCGAAGTGGAATTAAGTTTAGAAATGCACGTAAAAGGTTTAGATTTGTCCCAAACACATTTGAGACTTGAAACACCGGGCAAACCCTAAAATATACAAGTTACTCAAATAACTGCCTCAGTATACTTCTAATGAGCGTAGAAAATAGTGAGCCAAGAAGAATAAGGAATCACGAGTAAATCATCTATCAATAATGAATAAGAATCCCCATATCCACAGAAGCAAAACGGACAGCACTTGTAACCAGGAACCTCACTGTACGAAAACATTTCAAAAGGACGAAATTGAAGTATTCAGCCCAAGGACTTAACTTCCACTGCTAAAGTGCATTGCAGCTTGGACCACATCCTCAAGACTGCGTATAGCAATTGGCAATTTTCTTACGCCAGGACTTTTCATTAAGCGATCTATGTTTTTTAGAGTTTCGGCCAGAACCTTAAAATAAAATCAGAGAATAAGGACCATTCATGGAACAATAAACTAAGAAGCCATTCGACATCAAATAGCACCTAGCGTCTCAAGTGTTCCTCAAACATTGCTAGCTCACAGAGTCTGGCTCCTCAAGAAGCGCATTAGTAGGAGAGTCAGAAAGCGACAGAATATGGATGTTCAAGATTTCATTTTTCAATTTTTTTGACAAGTAGTCTCCCGCAGGTTTGAAAAAAACCCAAATTTTTATGCGAACAGAATAAATAAACAGTAAAGGGCAGTAAAAAAACTTCTAAACTTCTTAATTAAAAAAAATAGATTCTCAGCGGCCTGGGCACTAAAATACCACAAAAGCTCCAGAAAATGGAACTAAGCAAGGGAATGAAATCTCTGTATCTTTGATGTATTCCTTCTTATTCTCGAAAACTTTTTGTAGTGCAGAACAATTTCCTCTCTGAGCAAACGGACATTTCCAGAAGAAGAAATTAAGCCTGCACTTTTAAGCAATTAAATTGTAATACAAGCAAAGGAAAATCCCCTACTTTGCTTCAGTTCTTTTGCCCTAACTAACGAACGTTTTCGATGTTCAACTCGCAGTTCTCGTTTAATTTATAAAGAACGTCAACCTCCAGAAGCCCTTGTAAAAAAGGAACTAACTGTCACATTCTTAAACACAAATTTTTTAAGTTCTGTTGCCGCTCCAATTTGTTATGCATTTACTTAAAAAAGAAAAATCCGCTAGTTTCCCACATATGAAGGGAGACAGACTACTGAACAAAGTAAGCCTAACAAAGCGCTTGTTAACAAACAAAAAATAGCATTCCCCAAAAATTTCACTGTTGACGTTTTGCTTCTTAAGGCTTTAACAATGTTTAAATCTAGCGCTAATGCACTTTTCACAACAGATTTCTTCAAGAGAATGTGCAGATAACCTCAAAAATCCACCAAAACAAGTGCACGATCTAATTTGAAACAGCGGAATAAATAAATAAAACTTAACTCACCTACAATATAAAAAACCAAAAAAAAAATCGAGGACTCTCAAGAAAGAAATAACAAACTACTTACAAGCAACTCCGCGAATTTAAGTCTAATTACCTGTTCAGGACACATATCAACCTTCGTAACAACTATAAACACAGGAACACTTAAAGAAAGCGCCAGCGACAAATGTTCTTTTGTCATCCCTATGATCCCAGCATTAGAACCAACCTAGAAAACAAATCAATTGAAAACAATAATGGTTGAAGCCTCTGAAAGTGAAGCTAATGAATAACATCTAAGACATTTTTTACCTATTGCCTATAAAAAAGTGTGTACGTTGAATTACATAAACCTTTCTAATTCCTGAATAAATAACTTTCTAATGCTAAATCAAGAAAAAAGAAAAATGAACTGACCATAAGCATGGTGTAGTCTGGCGCATGACCAGTCATACCAAAGATGGTAGTCTTCAAATACTTCTCATGACCAGCTAAGTCAATAAATGTAACGACCTGAAAGCCAGCTAAACACTTAAAACACTTATAAAAAAACCTTCTGATCAAATTAAGTTTTTAAATAACATAAATAAAAGATCAAACGGGAAGTAAACAAAAAGAGATTCGAACGACCTTCGCAGAATTTTGACAGATATTAATCCAATCAAGATGACCGCTATGCGTATCAGAGTGATTCATAATATTTCCAGCAACGTCAAAACCTAGAATATCGTGACCCACAGAAGAAGTACGTCCTGTTTCAAATTCATGTTTGTGTCTATAAATCATTTACATCTCCTCTTCTACTATGGTGTAGACACAAACAGAAGAAGAGTATGACAAAAATTCACGTAAAACCTAAAAAGCTTTTGGCGCGCTAGTCCTCTACCATCATCCAACGCATTATGGGTCAACACACCCAGCAAAGTAGATTTTCCTGCATCCACATTACCTACTACTGCAACTCGCACCTGAAATTTTCATCAAGAATTCCTAACGGTTGAAAAAACAAAAAATTAGTCTCTACTTGTGCGCTGTCTACTAATCTAACAGCAATATCGTCCACACCTCAATAAAATCTTCCGCTTTCACATTCTTTCTAACCAAATAAAAATTTGTGCAAAGATCACCGCGCCGTTTAGTCACCAAATACGTAGCCAAAGCATCTATTCTTTTTAGGAGTTCCATTTGGTTTTGTTCCGAAACCTCTAGCTGTTTTCTTGTTAATCCTAAAAACTAAACTGGCAAACACCCTCTCAAAAGTCAACAAACGTACTATAAGCTAAACCTTTGTCAACGGGATCATCTGTCGAAGCTCCCAGTTCAACAATCGTTTCACCCTCGCCAAGAACCAACATCGACTCAATATGATCGTAATACTTCTCAATCTTCTTCTTATCAATTTCACTAGTAAGGGATAAGTCTACCAAAAAATCTTTGGTAAGCTTGATTTCTGCTACGTCCGCGGCGTTTTCTCCTAAAAATGTATACACTGAACCTAAAAATATTAAAAAACTGTAATCTGACATGTTAAGACTCTACTACTGCCGTCTTTTTAACCTTAGACCAACGGTTGCTTAAAAGGCAGTTCATTTTTCTGGTAAAAACAAAACTCCTGACTTCAGGAAAATTTTCAAGAAGGAGATTACAAAAAGGTGAAGAAAGGAACACTCATTCCAAACTGGAAGGTCAATTCAATATCACCTTTGAAGAAAGTAGGATGAGACAAGGAAATTTATCTGTTTAGCCTGCTGAAAATGTAAATTACCTTAGAGTGACGATACAACTGTCTGTCACATCAACATAACCGGTAAGCTGGGTTAGACTGTTGTAAGATATGAAAACCTTTCCTAACTGAACATTACCAGCAAAAAAAAACAGGACAAAACTCTCTATACAGTATAAACGTTAAGTTTCATACGTTTGCGCATATGCACTTTAAAATCACTAGAACATACTCAAGAAAAGCAACTTCTTCCAACACATTAACGAAGTCACCAAAATACCACATTTGTGTGAAGACACAAAATCTTCTTTCCTCAAAACTTCTAGTACTATCTACAATCAATTGTCAGGCCTAAATGTCAAGCTGGAACTCACCCTTAAAAACTAGCTTGGAAAAACTGGAGTATTTTATGGAGCAACGAAAAAGAAAACTTCAATCAAACCTTCTTCGTCATCAGAGGCAAAGAAACTTGCTGCCGCTGCGGCAGCATTTGTTATCGCCGGCATAGCCATCAAATCTTTCCCCTGTTATATTGAACAGATTACAGATGAATTTATGTTATCGTTTGGAAAGAACGACCCGGTAACTTCCCAATACATGCGTATTGAACTGGAACAGAAAAAAATTAAAATATTGTCCTGCGCATAAGACAACGACTTCAACAACTTTTCGTTCAACGAACCAAAAAGTGAAACATGAAGCGATTTCATAGCTAAGAATAGCAAACCTGACACTTATGCTTTACAAAAAAACTTTTTTCGACACCTGACTGGGCAGAAGAAATTTGACGTAACACTGCCATAGAGAAGAGTTAAGTCCTTTCGGCTGCAATTCCGAAGTAGTTTTTAGGCAAAAAAAACTTTTTCAGCAGCATGCCGAAGCATCAGAAATTATTTGTGGCCACCAAGAAAACAAAGAGCAGAATAAAGAAAGAAAGCACTTCACATCCACACCAAGTTAAGAGAAGAAAATAGAAACGCCAGATTACGTGAGCAGCGCTCAATTCCAACACCCAAAAATTATGCTGCAACAGGGTTACCAGCTAAGGATCTACAGTGGACACTACGAAAATCTGTCTTCAAGAAGAGAAGTGACTATTCCACAGGTACCTGTCTTAGCAAAAGTTGCGGGACGTTCGTAACGCCAACGCATAACTTCAGCCACAGACTCGACGGCTTGCGACAAATTCCTCTATGAACGTGCTGTTTACTAAAGGGTAACCCAATTCCAGCCTTAACAAAACCTATGCGTTCCTGGAACCGTTTGGACAGCCTTTCGGGCACCCTAAATCGATTGAAATACCCTGGTGAGCAAAAAATCTTAAAATGCAGTTGAACGGAAAATTTTTCGCAAGACAGCCTTGTTGAATCAGTACATATCAAAAAAATAGTGAACTTATTGTAGTATACTCTCTTGACAATTACTCAAAATCTTTTTCAGATTCATTGTGAAAGCAAACCAATATGGTTAAATCACGCCTTCCTAGGCCACTGAATAGAAGATAAACATTAAATGCACTCGTTAAAAAGTACAGATGAAAGGAAATCTACCACGTAAGGTACGCAGCTGTTACTCTACGGCGACTCTGAAGAAGAAAAATAGCTGAAATTGGCGAATAAAGAAGCAATTAAGCAGCAGCAGAAGTGAAGCGATCTCTTCTTTATGTCTGGTAGACTAAAACCAACAAGTTAATATACGAATTCGGTTGAAAAAAAGGCAGCAAAAAATATATATATATATATATA